CGTGATGCTCGTGGCAGTGGTGCTGCTACTGGTCGTGGCCGTAGTGACAGTGCTGCTGCTGGTCGTGGCAGTGGCGCGGCTCGTGATGCTCGTGGCAGTGGTGGTGCTGCTACTGGTCGTGGCCGTAGTGACAGTGCTGCTGCTGGTCGTGGCAGTGGCACTGCTCGTGATGCTCGTGGCAGTGGTGGTGCTGCTACTGGTCGTGGCCGTAGTGACAGTGCTGCTGCTGGTCGTGGCAGTGGCGCCGCTGGTGGCCTGGCCAGTACTTCACAAAAAACTGGCTCGAGAACACCCTGTGGTGCAGTACTTCACAAGTTTGCATCCTCAGCATCTTGTAAGTCTACACCTTCTCGGTTACTGGGTGGGGAAAGTTTAGCAGTCGAGTCTCGCATTGCATGAGCCATGACGAGCCAAAAGCTCGCGATGGCCCTCACTGGCCTCACGCCCGTAGAACCACAAGTCGTTGACAAAGCCTCAGTCATCCCCCCCGGAGCCCGCAACACAGCCCGCTGTCGTGCTGCCTCTGACCTGCTCTCAGGGCCCGGGCCACCATCATCATGCCCACCGAACACGTAGAAGCCGTTCGCAGCCGGGCTCCACACCGCGGTGTGGCTTTGCCGCGCGGATGGCTTGGTGCCGTTCGGGCTGACCTGTTCCCAGCTGTTCACCTGCGAGACATGTCTGATGCTGAGCATCTCTTCGCGGGAAATTGCGTGTAGATCGAATCGAAACATGGAAGGTGGCCCAAGGAGAACACCCTGTGGTGCTAAAATTTGCCAGTACTTCACAAGTTTGCATCCTCAGCATCTTGTAAGTCTACACCTTCTCGGTTACTGGGTGGGGAAAAGTTTAGCAGTCGAATCTTGCATTGCATGATTGCATGAGCCATGGCGAGCCAAAAGCTCGCGATGGCCCTCGCTGGCCTCACGCCCGTAGAACCACAGGTCGTTGACATAGCTGCCTCAGTGATCCCCGCACACACACACACACACACAGCAACGCAACCCGCTTTCGTGCTGCCCCTGATGTGCTCTCAGGGCTCGGGCCAGCATCATCCCCGCCGAACACGTAGAAGCCGTTCGCAGCCGGGCTCAACACCGCGGTTTGAAAATACGTGGATGGCGCTGTGCCGCTCGGGCTGACCTGTTCCCAGCTGTTCACCTGCGAGACATGTCTGATGCTGAGCATCTCTTCGCGAAAAGTTGCGAGTGGACCGAATCGAAACATGGAAGGTGGCCCAAGGAGAACGCCCTGTGGTGCTGGGACTTGCCAGTACTTCACAAAATTGAATCCTCAGCATCTTGTAGGTCTACACCTTCTCGGTTACTGGGTGAGGAAAAGTTTGGCAGTCGAATCTTGCATTGCATGAGCCATGGCGAGCCAAAAGCTCGCGATGGCCCTCACTGGCCTCACGCCCGTAGAACCACAGGTCGTTGAGAAGGATGCCTCAGTGATCCACTCCACACACACACAGCGCAACGCAGCCCGCTGTCGCGCTGCCTCTGACCTGCTCTCAGGGCCCGGGCCAGAAGAACCACCGAACACGTAGAAGCCGTTCGCAGCCGGGCTCCACACCGCGGTGTGGGCTTCCCGCCCGGTTGGCGCTGTGCCACTCGGGCTGACCTGTTCCCAGCTGTTCACCTGCGAGACATGTCTGATGCTGAGCATCTCTTCGCGGAAAGCTGTGTGTAGATCGAATCGAAACATGGAAGGTGGCCCAAGGAGAACGCCTTGTGGTGCTGGGATTTGCCACTACTTCAACAAAAAGTGCATCCTCAGCATCTTGTAAGTCTACACTTACTGGGTGGCGGAAAAGTTTAGCAGTCGAATCTTGCATTGCATGATTGCATGGTGAGCCAAAAGCTCGCGATCACTGGCCTCACGCCCGAAGAACCACAAGTCGTTGCGACGGCCGCCTCAGTGATGCACTCCACACACGGCCACGCAGCCCGCAGTCGTGCTGCCTCTGACGTGCTCTCAGGGCCCGGGCCACCAGACCCACCGAACACGTAGAAGCCGTTCGCAGCCGGGCTCCACACCGCGGTGTGGCGATACCGCGCGGATGGCTTGGTGCCGTTCGGGCTGACCTGTTCCCAGCTGTTCACCTGCGAGACATGTCTGATGCTGAGCATCTCTTCGCGGAAAGCTGCGTGTAGATCGAATCGAAACATGGAAGATGGCCCAAGGAGAACGCCTTGTGGTGCTGGGATTTGCCACTACTTCAACAAAAAGTGCATCCTCAGCATCTTGTAAGTCTACACCTTCTCGGTGACTGGGTGGCGGAAAAGTTTAGCAGTCGAATCTTGCATTGCATGATTGCATGGCGAGCCAAAAGCTCGCGATGGCCCTCACTGGCCTCGCGCCCGTAGAACCACAAGTCGTTGAGATAGCCTCAGTCATCCCCGCCGGAGCCCGCAACGCAGCCCGCTGTCGTGCTGCCTCTGACATGCTCTCAGGGCCCGGGCCACTATCATACCCACCGAACACGTAGAAGCCGTTCGCAGCCGGGCTCCACACCGCGGTGTTGGAATACCGCGTGGATGGTGCTGTGCCGCTCGGGCTGACCTGTTCCCAGCTGTTCACCTGAAAGGCATGTCTGATGCTGAGCATCTCTTCGTGGAAAGCTGCGTGTAGATCGAATCGAAACATGGAAGGTGGCCCAAGGAGAACACCCTGTGGTGCTAAAATTTGCCAGTACTTCACAAGTTTGCATCCTCAGCATCTTGTAAGTCTACACCTTCTCTGTTACTGGGTGGGGAACAGTTTAGCAGTCGAGTCTTGCACTGCATGAGCCATGACGAGCCAAAAGCTCGCGATGGCCCTCACTGGCCTCGCGCCCGTAGAACCACAGGTCGTTGAGACGGCTGCCTCAGTGATCCACTCCACACACGGCAACGCAGCCCGCTGTCGTGCTGCCCCTGACGTGCTCTCAGGGCCCGGGCCACCACTGCGCCCACCGAACACGTAGAAGCCGTTCGCAGCCGGGCTCCACACCGCGGTGTGGCGATACCGCGCGGATGGCGCTGTGCCGCTCGGGCTGAGCTGTTCCCAGTAGTTCGCCTGCACCGCGCATGTGTGACGCTCTGCTGAGGTGAAGCATCGAACTTCTTGGCTCCGTTGGATAGAGAGAAGTTGTTGACCTTTGCCCCTGCTGTCTCGTCATCTTTCCGTGGTACGCGGCCGGCCTTAACCAGCTGGGCCAGAATCGGGAGCCAAAGCAGCCTCACCTGGCCCAAAGACTTGGCGGTTTAGGGGTTTTGGGGTTTTGGGTTCCTTTAAAGGGATCTATATAGGGATACAAGGGTTTTTGGGTTTTGGGCTTAGGGGTTTAGGGTTTAGGCAGGGGTACAGAAACACGGGGGAAGGAGGCAGTAAGCAATCCCGGCCCTCGACAGCACAAATGCCAGCCGGCTGTTTGCCTTGCACCTTCTCTTGAACCTAACCAAGGCCTGAGCCACCTTGCTCCGGCAATTACATGTAAACTTGAAGTGCAGTACAAGAGCTTTTTTGGGTTATTGCCAAACGCCTGCAAGGAGTTCCTGGGTATGGCACAGAGCACTAGCACAATCTGAAGTAGCCATGTTGTAAGACTTCGAGCAAGAAGCTGATTGTAGTGAGCTTGGGCATCGTCCAACCTTTGGGTCTGCCGGTAAAAGCAGAACGACTCTCTTGCCCATTGCACCTCCATATGCCGGCCGCCAGACTCCGAGAACATCTGTGACTCGGGCCCGATTCCATCACATTAAAAATCCCTAAACCTTGAGACAGCGATGTTGCGCGGCAAAGTCTTCCATAAGTGACATGCAGCTGCCCATGCACGCAGGACGCTTCCTGGTCTCATGTCAAAAACTCGTGGAAGGCGGCAGCCTGGTTATTTATAGCTGTTACGGAGAGCCTTGCGGGGACCCCTTACGTAGGGCCCGCGGCTTCCATCACAAGAAAACATCAAACTGTAGCCACCATGTCTAACAAATGTCTCCCAAACGTCCTCCTCTACATAAGCCTTCGTTTTGAAGACAGTCGGGGGGGCCTGGCAAAATTCGATTAAATCCAAATTCAAAAATTTTGCTCCGGGCTCTAGGAGACTCTAGACCTCCTCACGCCGTTGGCTCCACGTTCGCCTCTAGTCCTCTTGAACCGACACTTGGATTCGCAACGGCATCGTCTTCTCTTCCTCGCATGCGCGCCGCCCCACGAAGATGCACGCAAGGTGACTTTGCACACAACCCCCCGAACCCCAAGAGTAAGAAATCAGCAACAACAGATTTAGTGGTGCTGGAAAGAAAAACTCCTCAAAGGGGTCCTCTGTCTTTTCGCTCACAGCAACCAGCTGGAAGCCTGCTTTTGCGCTATCGTCCTAGCCTGCACTGGGTGAATCAATAAACCATGCCGGGGGCTGGCAGCTCCTACAAAGACAGCAACACACGCTCACTCAAAGGGAGGCAGCAGCCTAGACGCGTCCCGAAGTGACATTCAACAACCGAGCCTTTTCTGCAGTCAGTGCACTTGCTTCAGTTCCAAGCCTTTGCGGCCATTCGGAAATTGCCAGGTGCCGTCGTCCAGCCTGTGATCCCGCTACTCAGGCTCAATCATACTCACTGATTGTTGTTTGCATGAACAGCTCAACCGAACAAATCGAGCAGGCCCTGCTGGGCGAGCCAAAGGCGCTAAGTTTGCTCTAAGCATAAACATTAGATCAAGCAGACCCCAACACACCTGATAAACTGTCGGTGTATCAATAACCTTGTTACAACGCGCACGCTTCAAGCACATGCGGTATCCCAACTCGATGTTCGGCTTAAAAAATGTCAAGAAGCCCGAAAGCTCAGCAGCTGAAGAAGGAGCTAAGGAGCCGCGTCGTTCACAAGCAGGAAAATCTCAAATTTCTCGACCGGCGGTGGCAAAAGGTGGAGAAGACGTTTCCCGGGACTTTGAAAGTCGCAGCAGATGGCCTTGCTCGCTGCAGGGCCAAAAGATAGTGCAAGGCCCCCAGTAAACCCTGTCGAACGGCCCGGGCGGCCCCCTCCTGTTCACCGGCCCACCAGATGTGAAAAAGCCCTTGCAAATCCTGCAATGTATATCAGTAAGTGCTTGAGACGCTCCAAACGCAACTTGGCGGGATGAGAGTGATGCCCCGGGATGCGCGTTAATGGAGACCTAGCAGGCTGTTTAAAGGCCCTAAGCCGGATAGCTCGGTAGGCTGCCGCACAAACATCATTCCGAAGCATGCCCGCTTTCCGCGCCCGAAGCGTAACTACCCCATGGCCCATGGCTAATGCACGAGGCCAGAACACCGACTGGTCATTGTTCGGCATCCTTCGGCCTCTTCGTTATGATAATTTCGTCAAGACAGGACGAGTGGTCACCGGAACGATAGGTAGCCAAAGGCGTTGACACCCGCCGATGCAACCCCTCCGCTCAAACCAACTCCCATAGCCCGGGTTGTTTACTGGCGATGTGATTGAAATCGCCAGCCACAAAAACTTCCTCACGAGCTTCACGTGTATGCAAATAGCTCTGCAGTGCTTTGCCAACCTCCTCCAACCTGTCAGGATGAGCATAGACGCACAGGATTTCGCAATTGTGCGCAAAACGTTGAATATGGGCGGACACGATGAGCCCAGGCAAGATTTCCTGCTGCGCGCCAGAGCTTCCCAACGTCAGCGATCGCAGGGGACGATACAATGGCGGCCCGCGGCAAAATGTGCGCCGCAGTGACGGGCCCACTAGGGTGAGGGATCAAAAAAAATTAAAGAAGAATCCAAAAAATGAAATGGAATGATCCAAAAAAATTATACAGCAATTCCTAGGGAAGGGGCATCAAAAAAACTTAAAGTAGTTTAAATACAGCAATTCCTAAGTTTTTCCAAGGGAAACACTATTTTCCTACGGATTCTCTTTCATTTCCTTAGGATTTGTTTTGTTTTTCTTCGGAAAAAACGATTTTCCTGCGGATTCCGTGTTATGTCCTTAAGTTTTCCTTGGTTTTTCCTAGGAAAAACACTGTTTTCCTATTACCTCGTGCATTCGTGTCATTTCTTCAGGTTTTCAAAAGGAAAACATGCGTTACCTTGGTTATTCCTCAGGAAAATCAAATTTTCCCCACAATTTCGGATTTAGGACGGATTTCGTGTTGTAGTTGTTGCTGGTAGTAGTGTTGTTGTCGTTGTGGTTGTAGTTGTACTATGTTGTAGTTGTAGCAGTATTCATTCATTCAGGACGCACACCGAAGTACGATGAGTGCGAGGGAGCCGGCAAAGGAGATAGCTCCTTCGGAAGTTCAGGACTTCACCGTGCATGTGACGGCCCGAAAATGCCTCGATGATTTACAAGACAAAGAGTCCTCAATCAAGAGCTGCCAGACCAAATGCACAAGCCTTCATAATCGGATCAACAGTTTCTGCTGAAAGAATCCCGGGAAGCACTAGTGGCGTCGCTGACTCACCATTCGGCTCGGAAACAGCGGTGTAACCACTCGACAGTGCAGCCGTCGAGTACGTTGCACCACCGTTCACTTGAGCACCAGTCAGAGCTGTCCAGCCGTCTCCGGAGCTAGAGCTCGCAGCAGCACCTTGGCTCGTAACCACTCGCCACAGTAGTGGCCTGTAGGTCCGTGACCAGCTGCCCAGATCCCTCTGCAGGCTCCATGAAGGTGAAGGTCTCAGGCCGAACCGGCTGTAGAGCACCACTCGCAACACTCGCCATAGACGCTGACACTGGAGGCCCAGCACCCATCTGTTGTTGCACGATCGGTCGCAGCGTCGACTATGTATGGTTCCATGGGCAGTTGTGCCACATTCACTACAGCATACACTAAAGCCATTACCAACACCACGATTGCAGCCAGGAGACCGGCATACCTGAGAGTAAAGCCGGGGCACCAAGTTGGCCCGCGCAAGGGATCGCTGCTTCTGGAGCATCGACGACTATGCAAAGCGCCGGTTTGGCCACACAAACCACAGCATCGGCTGTGGGAGTCAGATGCATGCTGAAGCAGGCAGCCGCGTGTGCCACAAGATCGCAAGAGCATTGAACCTGTCACAGGCATAAACTAGCGAATTGCGGGTCCAAGCGCATGCATAGAAGCACCGGTCCTGCCAATGACGAGTCAGCCATGACCTGCCACAGGAAGGAAGGCTATAAGTGCGGGGGCAAGGGATGGTGTCATGGTGCTACAATCACTCAGCATTGCACTCAGACAGTCACGCGTGCCGCTGCGGCTAGCGGGATGTATCCTCAAGTTGGTGGCACACTGGAACGCACTCGAGCGCTATCCAGTGTCGCTTTCCTGTACATCAGAAGAAGGTAAAATGCAGCGCAGCGTTCAGGACCATCCTTGGAAACAGGGTCTAGGCATCCACAGGTCTACCACAGGACCGGCACGGCTTCAACCAACAGTCCAAGTAGAAGTGGGAGGGGGGGCCTAAACCCAAAGAAAACAGCACACAAACCCCTAGCGCTTTGCAGGCATGGCATTTTGCGAATCAACGCTTACACGGGTGCCTCGGTGCGTTTCGGCCTACAGACACCCTTCGACCCCCAGGTTTAACCTGGGTTCCAACCCCCCTTTGACACCAGCCCGACAAACGGAAGAACCTCGCTCGCGATCTTCTCCGTCAGAATGCACGAAACCTCAGAAGAACACCTGGGCCATCCACGTTGTCGATGATGGTCTGAATGGCCTCCTGCGCCGCTGTGAAAGCAAGCTGTCTTAATTCTTGGCGACCACTGCTGATACGTCCAGCACGGATTCAGAGCCTGCGAGCCCTCCACCAACCACCCCACTGTGTGCATCTTGGTCTTCTCTTGATCCTGCCTGCTGGAGCACATCTCCAGCGTCTTGTGGACGAGGCGGTCGCCCTCCTCTGGGCGCCGCGGCCTTCTGGTCACGTTCACACGGGGCTTGCCCACACGGCATCGAAGTGCCCTGGGGCGGCGACCGGTTGTTCCAGCTTGGCAACCGCATTTACGAAGGCAACCCTCGTGCCACGGCGACCCGGAGGCCGTGCGCGTGTCCGTGTGCTTGGAGCCCGACGACCTGGCCAGGTCCTTCTTCTGCGACCTCGAAGACCGCGTCGCCGCCCAGCTCTCCGAAGCTTCCAGCCGCAACCAGCGCATCTTCGGGAAGTTTCTGAAACCTGACGAGGTCAAGGAGCGTTTGGTGTGCGCTCTGAAGAGCAGCTCCCGCGGGACGGAGTTTCTGAAACTGAAGTTGCACTGGAAAGTGAAGATTTGGGGGCCGGAGGGCGAAGAAATCCCTGGGAACTTCAGGGCTGTCAATGCAAGCTCCGCGTGGAGTTCCGCTTTGGTTGATGATCTCTCAGCGCGGCGTGCTCGCCGAGATCACTGACGTCATGCTCGAGCAGAGCGAGCCGTCCAAGCCCAAGCTGCCCTTCTAGTGCGTTGACGAGCCCGTGATTCTGCGGGTGTGGCTAATTCACACATCATGTCCTCTTTGGCGCAGCAACGAAACAACATCCGCCGGGCCGTCCAGGCCGGGCTCCGAGAGTTGGTGCACCACGCAGAGCATGTCGTCCCGCTGCTCGAAGGCGCTCTCCAAAATCTCGGAGCCCTGAAGAGCTGGAAAGACACGTCCCGCAGGACGCCCAGGGGTTGAGAGTCACCTGCGTTTCGACCCGATTGCCGACCACCTGCGTGCTCTGCTTGGAGACGTCCC